TCTTTGTATTTATCATTCTTGGGTTGATGTCTTTCGCCAAATTTAAGAGATGTTTGGCCAGTCTTCAAATATATCTTTTTCCTCTCCATTCTCCTTTTCTTCTGGGACTTCAGTTACATATATGTTAGATTGCATGTTCTGTTCATTTTCCTCAATTTTTTCCTCCTTTCGGTTCTTGAGTTTGCATTCTATTGATTTCTCTTCGAGTTCACTAACTCTTCCTTCTGCCATCTTTAATCAGCTGTTAAGTGTATCAGTGAAATTTCCCTTTGAATTATTGTACTTTTCAGCTGCAGAATTTCTACTTGTTTTTAACGGTTTGTCTTCCAATGGCATTCCTGTATGTTCCTATATTGTACATATAACTTCCTTTAAGTTCTTGGACATGTTTTTAGTAGCTGCTGTATCTGTACCACCTGAATTGTCTTGGTTTGGTTATAATTCACTCTTCCTCTCTTTTTCTTCAGCATGGGTCATAGCTGTTTCTTCTCATCATCCGTGGTCTGTACCGGCCCCTGGATATCATGAATGCTATGTTGTGGAATTTATGGATTCTGCTCTGCTCCCCCTGCTAGTGCTTATCTTGGCTGGACTCAAACCCTGTCCCTCATGCGAATATCTTTTTCAGCAGCAGCTGAAATCTCTTAGTTTGTTCATCTTTGAGCTGCTGGGTTTCCCCCCAAACCCCTGGTGTCTTCCCCACACAAGTGTGGTTTAGTCAGTTGGCTGAAGATTTGGATGGACTCTAGGCAGATCTGGGGGCATGCCCCCTCTGTGGCTCTCTCTCTTTCAGGATTTCCCCTTGATATTCTGAACTCTCTCCTTTCACACTCAAGACAACCAGACTGTTGCTTTCTGCACTGAAGCATTCATGGACTGGGGCGTGCCCCTGGCAAAAATTCAGAATCACTGGTCTGACTGTGGCAGAGTTCTTTCAAGGGTGGACTCCCTGGCAGGCTCTGCCTACCTCGGCCACCCTTGACCCAGTGTGTCTTTAAATTGTGTGTGTGTGTCTGTGTGTGTGGTGTGTGTTTTAATATTTTGTTCAGATTTTTTAAAAAGATTTTTATTTCTTTTTTTGACAGAGAGAGATCACAAGTAGACAGAGAGGCAGGCAGAGAGAGAGGAGGAAGCAGGCTCCCCGCTGAGCAGGGAGCCCGATGCAGGACTTGATCCCAGGACTCTGGGATCGTGACCTGAGCCAAAGGCAGAGGCTTTAACCCACTGAGCCATCCAGGCACCCTTGTTCAGATTTTTTAACTATTATCTACAGGAGGGTTAGTCCCACCAATGCTCTACGGTTACTGAAAGCCAGTGCTGTTGCATGCCTCTTAATAAGCAGTTAAAAAAAAAAAAAAAAACAACACCTTAACTTTGATGTGTTAAGAGCCCTTGATTAATGGACCCAAATTAAAAAAAAAATTCAGAGAAATACAACTCAGGAAACTGGATCAGCTTATAGGCAATTTATGACCTTGGTTATCTTAGATGGGTAGGGAAGGATTTCATGCCCTCAACATACGGGAGCAGCCAGGCTGGCCCACGTGGCATCTGTCAGTCTGTCTGTCTGATGCTAACATTAGGGATGTATTCAGGGGGAGTAGAACAGTCAGTCTCAAAAGGTCATTACATTTCCCAGGAGATTCCTACACAGCCTTAAAATAACCAGGTAGGTTGTAAATGACACCTTTTTTTTTTTACATTTGTTTTTTTTAGATTTTATTTATTTATTTGACAGAGAGAGAGAGAGAACACAAGTAGGCAGAGAGGCAGGCAGAGAGAGAGGGGGAAACAGGCTCCCCACTGAGCAGAGAGCCCGATGTGGGGCTCGGTCCCAGAACCCTGAGACCATGACCTGAGCCGAAGGCAGAGGCCCAACCCACTGAGCCACCCAGGCGCCCCTGTAAGTGACACTTTACATAAACTCTATCTGCAACACCACGTACCATTCGGTATACTGCAGTATGGGCTGTGCTACTAAGGAGACACGGAGGGATTTATTCATCTGGTAAATATTTACCGACTGCCCGGGTCATGCACGGCCCTGAAGCACTACCCAGAAGCCATTGCATGGGATGCTTTTGTCCCAGCTGTGCTCCTCATAATATAGGTCCCTGCCTGAGTTTCCCGGGGCTGTCATTCAAAGTACCCAGCCTGGGGGGCTTGAACCCTCACAGTTCTGGAGACCCAAAGGTGTCGGCGAGCTGTGTCCTCTCTAGGGAAGGATCCTTCCTGCCTTCTCTGGTTTGTAGTGGCCCAAGCCATCCCTGGCTTCCCTGTCATGTTGCTGCATCCCGCCCTCTCCGCCTCCATTGTCACGTGGGTTTCTTCCCCACGTGTCCTAGTCTGTCTATCACAAGAACACCGTCCTTGGATTTCAGGCCCGCCCTACTCCGTATGACCTCTTCTCGATCCTTACCTTGATTTTATCTGCGAAGACACTCTCTCCAGATGAGCTCACATTCAGAGATTAGGAACAACCCTGAGTTTCGGGCGTCACTGTTTAACCCACTGCAACTCCCCAGAGTGACTTGTCCCTTGTGCCCAAACTCCTCTATCTTCAGTTTCAAGGGCTGTAACCTGGCTCCTGAGTTTCCAGGATTTGGGGATTTTCTTCGTGACTTTATAGGCTTCAGGCGCACTGCTGTCGTTTCCCACCAGACGCTAATGCATTTGTCTTTATGGGCTGGCGGCTTCATCCTCCTAACAATGCGGGTCGTCCCTTGTGGCCCCTCCAATTCTGTCATGTTGGGGAGATGGGGCCGCAGGGACTCCGCCCTGGACCCAGGGGCCATGGACCCCAAGGTTTTGAATCGAGACAGTGCCATTTTTCTACCCATGCTCCAAACACACATCACTTCACCAAACCCAAATTATACGAACCAAGGACCAGCAGCTATGGTCTGTAGCCCAAACCTGGCCTGTCGCCCTTTTTTCCTAAATGAAGTCTTATAAGAACACAACCGGGATGTGTGTGTGTGTGTGTGTGTGTGTGTGTGAGCAGTGACCACTCTTGTGCCAGGACAAACAAAGTTTAGTAGTTGTAACAGGACCAGATGTGCCTAAAGTCTTTGGACCTTGGCAGAAAAGCTTTGGTGACCCTTGGCCAGAACACCGTACACTAAACAGGGTGACAGACAGCACGGGGCAAACAGCATTTTAAACTAGGAAATACACTCGTGTGAAAACCTGGCATGATCTTGAATAACTTGTATTCTGGAAGGTGCGTTCTGGCCCCAGTGAGCCGAGCATGGGCTCGCTCTCAAGCCTCATGCTCTCACGGGCTCCCCTGATTTTAACAAGACTTTGGAGCACAGTGATTTCTGCCTGTGAACAAGGATCTGTCCTCTGAGTCAGCTTTCTCCCTCTGTCACCAGTGGATTCTCTCCACAGAGAGCCCAAGTCCAGCGATTTCCTCCCACTGCCGCTGAAGGGACCCACTTTCTGGCTTCAGATTAGAACAAAGTGATGTGGGGGTGGGGCAGGTGACTGGTTCCGACATTGGGGAGATCTGTAAATAAGACCTTGACTAAGCAGCTTCCTACAGAATGATTCCAAAGGTCAGTTCTGTTGGGAAGGCGCGGAGAGTGGGAGACCCAGGAAATACACATTGGAAATTCTCCATCTCCTCCTTCCCTGGAAGAGAAGAAAGCAGGGAGTGCCAGTCACCGTGTGGCTCTGGGGACATCTAGTGGTAAGGACTGAGTCAGGGAACCAGGAACCCACCACAGGCACACGCCACATCTCCACGGATCCATCCAGTGGCTCTTGTGGTACCAAAGGCTTTGAGGGGGGGAATGGGCGGAGTCCTAGAATCTTCCTCATCGGGGAAGATGGGGTTAAACCCACACTCAGAGATTAAACACCTGCACCCGGCTCTCTGCTTTCTTCTGTATTGGCAGAGGTGGGAGTTCTTGCCGGGCTGGGAAAGCTTATGTGAACTTCTGGTGTCCGTCCTGGGCCCACGGTGTGCGCCGTGTGCTGCTCTCAGGCCTCCCCATGAGGCAGAAGTGGGGAGACTCCACTTGATAACTGGGGGGGACGGGGCTGCACCTGCCCACAAAGCCACGCCTTCTCCACAGTTTGCATATTTAATAGCTTCTCGAGGGCAGCTGGTTCTTAAAAAGCCAAGACCGTTTGCCTGTGAGCATTTTCATGGACTGATTGTTTTGTATCCTCTGCCACGTTGTCTTGGTATGAAATGAGTCTTTCGGGATGCCTGGGTGGCTCAGTTGGTGAAGCCTCTGCCTTCAGCTCAGATCATGATCCCAGGGTCCTGGGATCGAGCCCCCTAGTCAGGCTCCCTGCTCAGCGGGGGAGCCTGCTTCTTGCTCTCCCTCTGCTGCTCCCCCTGCTTTTGCTCTCTCAGTCTCTCTCTCTCTCTCTCAAATAAATAAATAAAATCTTTTTTTAAAAATGAAATGAGTCTTTTTGTATAGAATTTTTAAACTACCTCTTTGAAAGACGTATGCATCTGGCTGCAAAAAAATACCCTTTTATGCTTTCTCGTGGGCGAGGATCTCTAGGAACAGAAGGCAGGACTTCTCTCTAGCCCAGGATAAAGTGCTTCTTCTTCTTCTTCTTCTTCTTTTTTTAATTCATTTAAGACAGAGCATGAGCAGGGGAGAGGGACAGAAGGAAAGAGAGGGAGAAGCAGACCCCCCTCTGAGCAGGGAGCCCAATGCGGGGGCTCCATCCCAGGACCCCGCGATCATGACCTGAGCCGAAGGAAGACGCTTAACCATCTGAGCCACCGGGGTGCCCCAGATAAAATGTTTCTTTACTCCCACTGTGTATTGCCTTTTTCCCCCCTTGGACAATGTCTGGAGATAGCTGGGGTTGTCACAATGGGGTGGGGCAGGTCAGGGAGAGCAGCGCTCTGGGCATCTAAGGAGCGGAGGTCAAGGGTGCCCGGGTCCGTGTGTAGGAACCACCCAGCGCCACTTAGGGCTTCGTGACGGCAACCCCGCTCCACTCAGTCTCTCTCCGCCTTTCTTTAGAACTGAGCATGCAGAATGCGGAGGGTGGATCCGATTCGCCGGCTTCTGTGACCCTGTGTCCGTCGGCGGCAGCGCAGGCCCCCGTGGCCCAGCCGGTACCAGCCTCCCCGCAGGTAACAGAGCAGCTGCTTGCTGCCTGGGGCTCGGGCTGTTCTGGGGAAACCAGTGTGGCCCCGGAGGGGGATCGCATCCTCTTCGGTTCTGAAAAGCACCCGAGTCAGCAGAGAGAGGAATCTATATTTTCCCAAATTAGCGCGTCCGTTGCTATTTGTTGAAAAGGTCCCACCAAGGACTCAAGGATATAAACATGAAAAGAAACCAACTTAGTCTGTTCCTATCCTTGAATGGAATTTTTCTCGTACCTGGGAAATGTCCCTTTTACCCAGGAAGACTTTATGGATAAGGCTAAAGATTGCTTAGAGTTCTAGCATTTGAATGGATATGGGCTTGAAAATTTGCAAGGAGAGACCTGCCACGTGAAGGTTCCTGACTTCCAGGTTCCTGCCGTGGGTGGAAATAGACCACAGACCCAAACACAGAGCTGACAGAAGACCACACAAAGCCGAGGGCAGTGGAACAGACTGGAAGCTTGGAGATGTGTGTAGAGGTCCACTGGAGCCATGTGACCCCTCACAAGCACGATTCCAGAAGTTAGAAGCATGACACTTGATGAAGCTAGAAAAGCCCCATTGTTCCTAACTCCAAGTGGTTGTTCATTTTAGAATGGCTAATCAGACTTGTTTAGCTTTTATTTCTTGCAAATACAGCAGTCCCCCCCCCGCCCCGCCCCGTGGGCCTCGCAAGCCCAGGGTACCAAGGGGCTATGATCTTTCCCTGCCCACTTGAACCTGACCCATCAGCCCTCCACCCCTGGCTGCCTCGGCAGGCCTCGGACTCCTGGCTGGCTGGTGCCAGGGGCGCACACATAGCGTCCCCTCCCCAGTGCTAGGCCTTCCAGCCCGCTAGAGATGCTTCCAGTCTCCTCAGCGGCCCACATGCCCGTCCCCTGCCCCGCCCCCCAGGCACCGCCTCCACTCCCCATGTGGAGACTTCCTGCTGCCTAGTCGGGGCACTCCCTTTCTGGAAAGCTCTAATAAGCACTCATGCTCATGGGCGGCCCTGCCTTCCCTCAGCAGTAGGAGCCTCTCTCCTTGCCAGAGAGAGGAATTCCTGCTGCCTCGCCTCCCCAGGTGCACCCCTCACGCTTCGTGTCCCAGCCCTGTGCCGTCCTGCCCAGTTTCCCACCACGGCAGCCGCTTTCCGTCACCAACCCCAGCTTGGGGCCAGGGCCGGGGAAGGTGATGTGGACAGCTGTCTGGGGGGTCCTTCTTATCACCGGATCTCTCAGCTTGGTGCTGGCAACAGCCCACGTCACCTTGTGGAACAGACAGACCCCAGGGAGGGAGAGCTGCTGGGGGCAGTTGGAGGTGCGCGTGCTCATGCATGTGAACAAGTGTGTGTGTGTGTGTGTGTGTGTGTGTACGCACGCGCGCGCACACATACCATCCTGTCCTCCTGTCAGGTCTGCTCGTGTTCCTGGAAGGTGGCAGTGCTCCGGCTGTAATCTGTGTTTGCGATAAGGACCAAACTTTGACTAAAGTCTAAATGTCCTTCTCTCCTTCCCTTTTAGAGGGTGTTGGTCCAGGCAGCGGGCTCGGCTCCCAAAGGGGCCCAGATGCAGCCAATCTCCCTCCCCAGGGTCCAGCAGGTGCCACAGCAGGTAACCACGGCACTGGGGGCACGGGACACGTTAACCCTTAGCGATCCGGAGCCCTCTCTGAACGAGGCATCCTTTCCTGTTGTTGCTGCTCTTTTGTCTTTGATATCTTCAGTGCTTTGCCAGAAAGTTCTTTCAGAAGCTGTGTTTAAAAAAAAAAATCTGTTACTGCAGATAGTTCGCCACAGGCCAAGAAAGCTGACGGTCTTTCATCCATTCAGAGCTCTAGCATTTGGGGTCCAAGCCAGCACCTCGATAGAGCACTGGGGTACCGAGGTAGACACGCAGACAGAGAAGCCACGTTTCGGGACTGAAGGAACATGGAACTCGCTGGGGAAGGAAGCGCGGTGCCCTCAGACCAGTGCCGAGACCCAGGATGTGCTTCTGGTGAAACCTAGGGACCCGGGAACAGAGCTGCAGGCCCTGGGCCCCCAGCCACACAGCTGCACAGAGCAGCAGCTCAGACAGAGCCCAGCTGGTCCAGAGCAGCAGAGGGCAGACCTTTTCTAGAAAAGGCCAAAAGCCCGTGCTTCGGCTTAGCGGTCAGCCGCCCTGCCACCCTACTGAGCGCGGCCTCGGTCTGCCAGAGTGGCTGTGGACCAAAGTACAGGGGCGCGGCTGTGGGGGCAACTTCATGCACAAGGAGAGGCAGGCCAGACTCCGCCAAGGGCTGGAGGTCGCCGGTTTGAGCTCGGTGACGTGCTGCATCCCAATCAGTGCGGGCCCTGGGAACCGGCGCATTAGCCTGGTGACCGCGGAGACCAGACAGCACGCCCCTGTCCCTAGGGGGCTCTGGCTTCGATCGCTGGTGTGTTCAGAGGCACTGGTCTGAAGGCAACTGGGGCAGGTTTCGGGGTCGTGGGACAGAAGCAGAGGCTTCCGGGAGGCCCACAGGGAACCAGCGGCTCTGTCTCAGCTCCGTGAGGGAGACGCGAGCGGTGTGGTGATACCAGAAGCTTCCTGTCGGGCTGGGCCTGCCCCAGCCTGTCTCTCTGGGCAGCTTGGACTTGCAGAGTGACTTCTGCGTCTCCCCCATCCCGAGGCACAGCCCAGCCCCAGCACATCAGTCCCTGGAACCTTCTCGGGGATGCTCCCTATTCCAGGGGCTGGGGTGCCTCCTGCACCACGCTGGCTGGTCCTAGGAGGTGGGGATCAGCCCCAGCCTGCCGCGCCACAGAAGGACTTAGAGGCCACTGTGAAACCCGGCCCCCCCGGTTCTCTCACCCCAAAAGGAGGTTGGATGGAGCATTCGTTAAGGTTCCCTCTGTGGGGAGGGTGTACGTTTCTGCGCACAGAGCTCGGGTATCCCTCCCTACCCGCCACCCCGGCCAGCACCCCTGTCTGCTGAGATGCTGAACTGACGTGGCCACGGTGAGGGCAGGGGCGCGGCAGAACGGGGCTGGGGGCTTCCTGGGGCTCCTCTCCGCCTCCCACTGCATTCTGCTCAGACTGAAGGTCTCCCCAGTGTGGTTCCCAGGACCCCCGCCCCTCAGGAGAGGGGTGCCAGGGCCACCCAAAGGGGACATCAGAGAGACTGTGTAGAGTATGAACAGCTCGAGCCCTCTGCCCTGCCAGGGATGAGGGGTGTCTGACCCTCCCCCCACCAAGGTCAAGTTCTGTCCACAGCTCTGGCTTCCATCCAGTGGGACCTGGCCCCTCTGCCCAGCGGCTGGCAGGCGGCAGGGACCTACCATCCCAGCTCCACTCTGCAGTACTGGGCTCCCGCACCCCTGCCCGCCACAGAATGGGGGCTGCCTGCCTCGCTCCCCTCGGGAATGAGCCGCCGCGACCAGAGAATGCGGCAGAGCCATAGGTCGGAGCAGCTCCACGCCCGGGGGGCCTCTTGGGGACCAGCTCTCCTAGTTTCTTGGTCAAAGGGACGGCTGGGGCAGGATATCGGAAATGTAGGAGTCAGTGTTCACAAAAGGCGAGGACAGATGTGCCCAGGGGCCCCCCCCAGGAGCCCACGTGCATAACGCCAGGTCCCCGATGTCGTTCCAGGTGCAGCCCCTGCAGCACGTGTACCCCCCGCAGGTGCAGTACGTGGAGGGCGGAGACGCCGTCTACACGAATGGAGCCTTGTACGTGGGTCTCCCCTCCCCTCGCAGACAAGCGTGGGCCACACCCAGAACTTTCCCTCACGACTCCCCCCACCTCTTCCCATTTGGGCCTGCGTGTGCGGGAACTTCTCCTCCTCCTCTGGATGATGTTGGACCTGGTACAACGGTCCTAGGACAGGAGAGCCCTGCGGACACTTCAGAAATCACAGGCTTTACTGGTACTCACTTCCAGAAAAGGCAGGCTTTCCACAAAACAAAACAAAATACTCCCCAGTCCAGCCTTTTAAGCCTGAAGATTCCGTGTTCACAGTCCAGACACCATTGCTCTCTCCACCTTCTCATCCATGCCGGGTTCACCTCTGGCTCTTTACAATGTCGATAAAACTTGATTTTCTGTTTGTCAAAGACTTCTAGAGAGTTCTGCCCTTGAACTATGGGGTTCTTAGGGCAGAAAGGATACATTTTTCCACGAAGGTCCTTGCGCTCCAGACGTGAGCCCTTCGGTTCGTTTGATTCCCACACCTCCTTCCAGAAGTTCAGGGGTCGGGTGTGAGGGTTGGCTGCGGTGATGGCCAGAGTTGTGTGCGTCTCTGCCGCACAGCGCGGAGAACTGCTGTGTACACGCGGGCCACGTCCGTGCCTGGACGGCCCCGGGCAATCTGAGTGAGGTCTGTAGGTCGTCCCAGCGTCAACTTCCTGAGCTTGACCTTGTGCTCCGGTTAGACTGGCTGTCACCCCGGGAGGCGGGACAGAGGTGCAGGCCTCCTGGACACCAGTCAGTGGGGCCTCGCTGCCACCCAGAGGTGACTAGACATGTCGCTGAGCCTCAGCGCCACCTTTTCCTGGGGCCAGCTCTACGTGAGCAAGCAGGACCTAAAAATTTGAGTCTCAAACCGCAGGGTATATCACTTCATCCAAATGGGGAAGGAATAGCAGACAAATTCTTGGTGTCACTTAGAAATTCTTTTTATTCGGCAATTTCATTTGGCGAACACTTTCTGTTTTGCAAGAATCACAGACTCTTTTTTTTTTCTTTTAAGATTTTATTTATTTATTTGACAGAGGTCACAAGTAGGCAGAGAGGCAGGCGGGGGGGGCGGGCAGGCTCCCCGCAGAGCAGAGACCCGATGCAGGGCTCAATCCCAGGACCCTGGGACCCTGACCCGAGCTGAAGGCAGAGGCCCCAACCCACTGAGCCAGCCAGGCGCCCCAAGAATCACAGACTCTTGAGGCAGTTGCTGACTTAGGATCGAGTCCTGTGTGCCCTTGGTCCCGCCTCCCCGAGTGGTGACATCTGTGACCAGAGCACGATCCCAGGAGACTGGCACTGGGATGGGCTGTCAGCTAGCCCCGGGGCCTCGTTCACACGTAGCAGCCTACACACCATCGCGTGCGTACGTGCGTGCGCATGTGTGAACATGTGTGAACGTGCATGCAGTCGAGGCCATCCTACCCCGGGTGCAGATGGCACGTCACCGCAGTAAGATACGGAATTGTTCCGTCTCCACAGGAGCTCCCCCTGCAACCCCATTACATGCTTAGAACTTTTCAGCGACAGTTTCGATGAGTCATCCCGTGATCCTTAATATTTCCAGAAATGATCACTTTGAACTTTGCACCGCCCTGACATTTCGTGTCTGAGTGACCCCGTGTGCTTGGTCTCAAGGGGCTCCAGCTGTAACGGGAAGTCTTGCCAGAGCCCCGTGGAGACTCAAAGGACGCCCTTCTCTCTCCCCGACAGACGGACGGCCTATGCCTACAACCCCGAGCCTCAGATGTACGCCCCCAGCAGCGCAGCTTCTTACTTCGAGGCCCCGGGCGGTGCCCAGGTGACCGTGGCAGGCTCCTCCCCGCCAGCGGTCCCCTCCCACAGCATGGTGGGCATCACCATGGATGTCGGGGGGAGCCCTATTGTCTCCAGCGCGGGAGCCTATCTCATCCACGGGGGGATGGACAGCACCAGACACTCCCTCGCCCACACCTCCCGGTCATCGCCAGCTACGGTATGTACGAGGCTCGCAGGGGCAGCAGGGTAGCCCCTGAGTAGGCCCCCCTCCGCGGCAGGGATGGTGCGTGGAAGGCAGCCCAGGGTGCTGGAGCCGGAGCTCTGGCACCTGGAAGGGTGTGTGATCCGAGGCAAGTCTCCACCCCTGGGAACCAGGTACTCTGTGGCAAATAGAGAGGGCCAAAGGCCCCCCCCCCAATGCTGGGCACTGTGGAAATGGCGTCTGAGCCCAGCCTCACCGTGCTGGGGGACCGCCATCGCTGGCGTCGCTCTCCCGGAGGCCCGGGGCCTATCCATCCGTGTGACCGCTGGAGCAGACTAGGCTCAGGGCTGTCCCCCTTGGGAACTGCACCCACTCATCACCGCCACGGTCCTGCCCCAGGCAGTTCCTGACCTGCCTTAAAAGTCTGTCTACTCTTAGAGTCTGTTTTCCATGCTTACTTTTATCATTCAGAAAATTAACACCGAGTAAACGTGACCCATTTTGGTGTGCAGCCCTGAGGTTTGACACAACAGCCTGGTCCCACCACCCATACCCCTGGCAATGCTGATCCGCTGTCACTCTCGCTCTTGTCTTTCCGGGAGTGTCGCATACATAGAACATATAGTCGGTGACCTTCAGAGGCCGCCTCTCTCACTCGCTGGGTCTCTTTAGAGACTCAGTCATGTCGTCTCGTGAATCAGTGCTCACTTCTTCACCCCTGGGTAGGGTTCCGTTGCCTCGCAGCTCATCCATCCAGTCACCACTTGAGGGCCATTTGGGCAGTTTCCGGTTTGGGGTGATTGTGAAGAAAGCCTCGCTATGCGCTCACGTACAGGTGTTGGTATGGACTTATGTTTTCCTTTCTTTTGGATCGATACCTACAAGCAGGATTGCTGGTTCACACGGTAAGTGTACGTTGAACGTTACTGGAAACCGCCAACAGTTTTCCCAAGTGGTTGTACGATTTTGCGTGTCCCCCCAGCCCAGTGATGTATCATCACCAGCACTTGGTGTTGTCAACCATTCTTCACTTTCCACGTTTTGATGGGTGCGTAGCGGTGTCTCACTGTGGTTGATCGGTATTTTCTTGATTGCTAACTGTGGTAAGCAGCTTTTCACGTGCTTGTTTGCCTTTCATTATATACCCTTTGGTGACCTCTTGGTTCAAGTCATTTGCCTGTTTTTTACCTGGATTGTTTGTTTGCTTACTGTTGAGTTTTGAGAGTTCTTTATGTATCCTGGGTACAAGTCCCCCATCAGATAAGTGATTGGCAGATATGTTTTTGTGTCCTTTAGAGTGTCCTTTCATCCAAAATTGTATCAAGTGTTTCCCCTCACTTCACTGTTGTGTTGGCTATTTAACATAATTTTAGAATTTTCTACAGAAATTTTAGGTCATCCGATCTATATCTACAAAAAAATTCATCGTGAGATTTTGGTTAAGCAGCATTAGACCTGTAGATCACTTTGGGGAGAGCTGACATCTTTCCCATGCCGGGTCTTCCCATCCATGAATATAGTATATTTTTTTTCCATTTACTTAGATCTTCTTTGATTTCTATCATCAGCATTTTGTAGTTTTTTTGCATGCAAATTCCATACATATTCTGTTAGATTTATGCCTTAATATTTTATGTTTCTGGAGCTATCATATGTGGTGTTGATTTTTAACTTTGTTTCCAGCTGTTGATTTTTGGCTGTTGGCCTTCCATCCTGCAGCCTTGCTGAACTTACTTGTAAAAGCTACAAGACTTTTTTGTTGTCTGCAAATAGGAACAATTTTGTTTCTCCCTTTCCAATCAGGATGACTCTCATTCCTCTTTTTCATCGTTTTGCACTAGCAGGACTTCCTGCTGATCCAGGAAGTGGCTGGACGGGAGTGGCAAGAGCGGACATCCGTGCTTCGTTCCTAGTCTTAGGGGCAAGTCTTCAGTCTTTCTCTGCTAGATGTGATGTTGGCTCAGGTTTCCATGAATGCCCTTTTTCGGGTTGAGGAAATTCCCCTCTATCCCTTGTTTTCTGCAAGTCTTTATCATATATGAATATTAATTTTTGTCAAATGCTTTTTCTTCATTTATATGATCATGAGTTTTATCTTCTGTACATTGTTACTGTGATGGATTACACTGATTGGTTGTCAACTTAGAAAATAACTTCATCTTTTGGAGTGGGGCTAATAATCTCCTGAAATAGAAGATGATGCTCCTGTCACCTCCCTGTCCTTTTGGTCCTCATGTGCTTTGGGGTCACCGGACATCAGAGAGCCCTCCTCCAACCCCGGTGTCTCTGTCCTCTATGTCCACAGAGTGCTCCCCAGGACCCGGTTCTGTGGGCAGGGTGGAGAGAAGTCACTTGCTCTCCAGAGGCCTTAACGTGTGGGGCGGGCCCTGGTACATCAGCTTGCCCCTCGCCTCACTCAGGCCCTGTAGCCCACCAGGGCCTGGGCAGCCACGGGCAACCACACATGGCCTCCCTTGGAGGACTGGCTGGAGAGACGTGAGTTTTGAGATGGTATCAATGAGAAAGCATTCCTCACAGACCACGTTAACTACCACGGACACAACAGGTTCGATGTCAACGAGTCAAATCAGTGCATAATACCAGAATATCCTAAGGTCACGGGTCACAGATTTCCTGAGAAGCTACAGCGTTCTCCACGGTCAACACTATCCTGTTGCAAAGAAGTGTGCAGCCCAGAGCCCCGGCAACCCGGCTACCGTGGTTTCTCATCTGAGTTGCTTCAGAAGATCCATGTTTTTAAATCCTTTGGGAATCCGTGAATGGGCTGTGTTTGACACCCCTCTCCACGCAAGCCCCGAGAGCAATCCTCTCAGAAGACAGTCCGATGCCTGACCCTGCCCACGCTGTGCTCTCTCGACTTGCTGCGGCATGGGAACATCTCACACGCGTGCCGCAGGGATCTGAGGGGCTTTCCAGGAGCTGAGAACAAGAACAGTCTTGAGATTGCAACAGAATTGCAATACGTCTCCGGCATCCAACACTTGAGTCCTGCCAGCTTTATCCATCAAGAGTTTCGGGACCTTAAATCATCTCTGGAAACAGCGTGAAGACCAGAGGGAATCGCCTGTCCGGCCTCAGTGAGAGATCGCAGACTCGGGGGTGCAGATTTTCTTGAGTCTTTATTTCATCAGTGTTACATAAATCTTAAAACCGAATGGCCCACATGAGGAGTGCTGGATAAAACCGTCTGCTGTGGCACTTAGATGAACCACACGGAGCCTGGGTCTAAACCCAGAGGCTTGCTCTCGCTGTTTCTGCCCAGGAGTTGCCCTTTGGGTCGTGTCGAGGGGACACTGGGGGCTCTCGGGCTGCACGAGGTAGAGACCCTGCCATCCTGGGCTGCAGGAGGCCAGGCCATGCAAACACGCGGCCCCCCATGGGCCACACAGCGCGGACCGATGGAGACAACGTTCTAACCAATTCTTACAATAATAAATATACAGCCTTCTTGCCCATGGTGGGGATCGTGCCGCTGCAGTGGTTCATTAGCGTCTCTAGGTCTGGCCCTCAGGAAGGATATGCTGACCCAGGGGTCACATTCCCCATTTGAGTGGCGTCTTTGTAAACTCTTCGTTTCCAGGAAATCGGAGTCCTAGGTCACCAGTAGCAGTGGCCCTGGGTATTCAGATCACACAGAGATCGGGATGGTGTCCGCCCTGGCGACTCCGCTCGGGATTGCCACGCACCGGGTCCATCAGCACGTGCCACGCCGAAGCCAGAAGGGTGAGGAGTGAGGTCACCTCGGAGAACAGCGGCGGGCGGGTCCTGAGCTTTCTCGGGCTGCGCTGTGCTACCTAAAGAGCTTGTGTCCGCTTCGTGGCACCTGAGGTGACTTTCAGATGTGCCCAGGACCGCACAGCCAATTTCTTCCTCCCCCAGATGAAGGGCAACCCGCACGTGCTGACTCTGAGAAGCCGGGGTGTCAGCAGCCCGGCCCCCCGGGACACTTAGAGTCTTCAAAAATCCTGAGATCTGGTTCCCGATATTAAAAGACACACTGTTTAGGGCCCTGAACTGACAGATTGGAGTTCTACGACATACAGCCCGGAGATACACCACTTGAAATCACAGGAATTTCTTTTCTGGCATCATCAGAAACTCAGCTCCTCCTTTCCAACACGCAAGGAGCGTCTCACCCCTGACCACCCACGCGTGGGTTCAGAAAAGTCAAATCTCGTAATCTCTCTCCAGCTCACCAGCACGGAGTCCAGGCTGGGGAGACTGTGAAGGGGACGTTGAGGTTCCCTAGGTGCGGCGCGGCTCCCTACACGTGCCCCTCCAGTCTCATGGCCACTCTTCCATGTGGCCCGTGGGGCAGGCGTGCCACCACACTGCCCAGAGTTCACCATGGATTATCAATCGCCAAACGTGTCTTCTCTGCAGCCTGCATTTCCAGTGAAGACGCGAATATCACCCATGTACCAGGCATTTGCTAGAAGCTTCCTCATTCTCTGCACATCAGAGCTTCTGTCCAACTGTCAGAGCAACAACTTTGCAGGCAAACGCACACTGTTTGAGAAAGGGAGTTTGCCAAGAGCACATCTGCTTTGCTCTGGGACTCAAGTATTTCTCATCACTTTTTTCTTTAGTAGACTCCTTTTTTTTTATTATTATTATTTTAAGCACCACTTTAGGTTCACAGAAAAATCAAGCGGGAAGTCAGAGAATCCCCGTAGCCCCCCTCCACCCCCACAGTCCCACGGTTGCCCTCATTAGCCTTTCACAGAAGTTCGGTACCTTTGTCACCCTCCATCTCGACCCACGGTTACTACTAACTAAAGCTCGCGGTTCCCATTAGGGTTCGTGCTTGGTGCTACACATGCTGTGGGTTTTGACACATATTCAATGAGATCATCACTTCGGAAGCGGGTTTTGCACGTTTCTTCGTGGAGGTGGGAGCAGTACCTGGGTTTACTCAGGAGGGCTGCTTTGAAAGAGAGATCTGAGGTTTTCATCTCTCTTCTGCCTCCGGTGACAAAGTTAAAGAAGGAGAA